TCCCTTCAGTATTTTCTGATACTGGGGAACATTTCTTATAGTTACTTGTTACTTGAGGCTTTTCCTGCCCAGAACAGTGCAGATTGCTTAGGCATCTCTGCCAGCTGTTTGTTAAACTGCTTCTAAGTTACATTATTCTTTTTCTGTCATATAGGTTATTCCCTGATGTTTCATCTTTAGCATTGCCAGATGTATTTTCTAGTCCACTGATTTAATGGAATATTATTACTGTTATTTGTAAAAGTCACTCTTTGCTTCCTTCCATTTAGAATGCATCAGCTCCGTAATACACACTTTCCTGTAGGGCTTTTGTTACTTGATGGAAGTACACAAAGTTACATACAACATTTATAAATCATTATTAGGATTGGAAATACCAAATAGCTTTGGTTCTCAGCTCTGCTTCTTTGAAATGGAACTTAGACCTGTGGCTCAAAAGTACTGGTTTATCTTCAGTTCTCATTGTCCTTGTATTTTGTGCAATTGTTGATACTAAGAAACTAAAGAAATTTCGAATTATAAATTGAGGGTTGTTGGGTTTTGAGAATTTCTGAAAATGTGATTACTTAAGTAACTAAATTTGGATTCAAGAGTTAATATTTAAAAGTCTGCTTTTTAAAAAATTTGTTCCTTAATTTAAGACCCTCAATTGTTAATGCATATGAAATAAGCATTTCTCTAGTGTATTTTAGTTGTGAGCACATTTCCATTTGAATACAGACACATTAGAAATACATGTCATAGACTCCTAACTAGTGTTTCCACTATTGCACTTTTATGTTCTGGCATCCTTCGGAGTTCCTTCTGGCTCCAGACACCTTCACGCTCAGAATGGTACAATTTGTGTCATACATGCTGCAAAATCATGGCTTGGTTGTGACTTTTTGTTGCCACTATTCTTGCCATATTTTCTTTGTGGTAAGGGTGGGAAAATCAGTTCAGATAAAATTGTTTGGACACAGTTAAGACAAGTATGCTGTTCTGTTTTATTGAGTCCCTGTTCATTTATCCCTTGCTCAGATTTGGAGGTCCTGAGAAAGAGGTGTCTGCTGTATGGTTTTTACTTTCTGTTTATTTTTCAAGATGGAGGATTTAAAATGCATATTTAATTTGTGCAGGACATTCAGATTTGTTAAAAGGCTGGTCAGATGATCTGAGGAGATTGTTGGGGATGTACAAGGCAAGCAGTTAGGAAGTTGGAGATAATGGAGGTTACCATTTTTCATATTGATGAATTTGGCAATTGGAATATAGGGATGTTGGAGACCAAAGGAGAATTTGGGAACAAACAAGAAATTACTGTCATTATCACAAAAGCCTTACTTAAGTGGAACAAATTGTCCACTCTTGGAAGTGTCCTTCTCCATAAGGGATACTGCTAATTAAATAACTCAGACCCATCTGGTACCTATTTTAATCTCCAGTGACTACTTTATTCCATGCTGTGCAGAGAGCCAAGGCTCATAGTGAAGGGCAAGAACTAAACAAGGTCTTTGGAGTTTGAACTTATTTGAGAAGTTTCTTTAGCATAGATTTTGTTCAGTGTCAGCATCAGCTTTTGTGGATCAAACCATTTGTGTATGTAACGGAAATAAGAACAGGACTGTGAAAGATGAAGATGATGCACAGACTTTTCAGGAAAAAAAACTATGTGCTTTTGGGAAAATTGGAATCAAAAAGACCCCTACTGTAAGAAAAGTCTGTTAAAATTAGCCTAAGAAAAATAATCTGAGAAAAGTATGTATGCAAGGCAAAATGTTTACTCTTTTCTCTAGAACTCTTTTAAGTGTGCATCTGTGGAAGGGGTTTCTATCTCCAGTTTAGCTGCCTGTGAATATCCGGGTTGAAATAGGGACTTTGAGATCCATGGATACTCAACTATTTGGAGGAGTAATTTCACTGATAATTTTCTGCAAAAGTACTAATTCATCAGAGAAAGGCATCTGTAATTTAATTTATATACAGTGCACGTCAGGTAACTTTGCTGAGATTCCTGGAAGTGTGTAGCTTCTCTGATAAGCATGAGATGACTGCTTTCCTGCAAACTACCTCCATATGTCAATGGAGGTACCTATTTCAAGACGATGGCACTCACCAGTACCTCTAAAGTCTGGAATATGGTTGAGTTTTTAAATCCACTCCTTGTTCTTTACTCCCTGTCTACTAAGAGGATTTTCTTCATCAGTGTTTTAAATAACCAGAAAATTCCTTATAAAAAATGAGTTTCACCACTGAGATTCCACAATTCAGCATGCAGACACACAAAAGTAATGTTAAGCATACAAATGTACCTTTCTCCTTTTATGCAAATGCTTCAAAATGTAGCCTTCAATTTCATAGAAACATACTGTTATCCAGAACAACGTAATACACCTTTGCCAAAACATGAAAAGTACATGGGTATGTATTCAGTGAAAGTCATTTAGCAGGAAAGTACGTATGGAAGCACTATAAAAATAGATTTTTACAGTAATTATTTCAGTGAGCAATAGAACTTAGAAGAGAACTTCTTATGTGTATACTAGTGTGAATTGCTGGGAGAAAAAGCGCTACAGGGACCAAAGCTTACTGTAAAAAAAAATCCAAAATTGTTAAACAAGTCTGCAGAAGCAGACCCCTGATAAACATTTGTTCAACTACTGTGAACACTAACTACTATAAGTATTCCATAAAAATTGTTAAAGATTACCAAGCAAATTGTCATAACTGAAAAAAATCCTACATCTAGTATTTGAAAAACATGCCATTAAGTACCATATTTTAACATATATATTGTACTTGGGGATAAAGATAATATACCATATTCAGCCTTATCTTAGCATTTCATAAATTCTGAGTTCTTATCCAAGCAGCTTCAAAGATCCTTCCATGTTACTTGCATGCCTTGGTTGTAGAAAGAAAGGAAGAGTGATGACCTAAAAGACTAGAGCCAGCTTTTCATCAAAGTTCTATCTCTAATCTTATCTTTATAGTTCATACTCTTTTCAGACAAGCTAGAGGCTGCTACCATGGGAATAACAAACTCCATTCCCAATAGTAATAAAACATAGCATGTTGTGGATGGCTGCCATTGCAGAGGGTGTTAGTGATAATACATTTCTCTCATGAGAAACAGTGATTTTTATGTTTTCATTTTCAGGTGAGAACACAGTCCTGTGCTGTTTGGGCACAAATTAAAAGTAAGTCAATTTTTCTTTCAATGAGAAAACCAAAGTTGTCATGGCTTTGCTTGGCAGCATAAACTACTAGTTGCTGTGGCTGTTTCTTCATTTGCCATTAATGGTCAGTTGACTGAGGATTGGAAAGGTTAGAGGCACAAAATTTGCTTTGCACTTCGGTATTCCATTCCAGTGGATTCAGTAATCCATTATAAAATGGGTTTTCTGGTTTCTCCTTGGTTTTCAATATTACCCTTTCTATGCATCACATCCAAATCTTTATAGCAATTTTTGTGCGCAAAGGATATGAGGAACAGAAGGTGCGAAATTTTAGAAGCCTGTTTTAAGATAGTTCTATATTGGCTTAAAGATAATAAAAATTTTTTTTTTAGCTTTTAGAAGCCACATTATTTATTTTAGTGTGTTCAGGTGCGCCTTGGAGAATTAAGTCCCTTTTGTGAACTTCTGTGAACCATGTGAAAGTGAAAAATATGGCTAATTTTTGTACTTTTAAGTACAGTTTCTTGAAAGTATAATGGCATGACTTTGAAAGCTGGTGAATTTCTCAGCGTGGTTTTATCTTTGTTTTTCTTTTTGACTATAAAATGTTTCCAGTGAATGCGTTTACCTTAGAAGAGTTTGGAATCCACTAGAGATCAAGTTACCTTCCTTTCCTGCATGGTAGAAAGTACTGTCTTCATCCATTTCATCGTGTTTCAGCAAAAAGCAAACATTTTCCTCTCCTGACAAAGAAAGTGACACCACTGGAGTCCCCTACAAACTCTAAATTCTGCTTTTGAGTTGAAAGGTTCACAAATTAGAGTTAGGAAATGCAGTGGCACTGGAGAGTAAGACAGTACTTTGGAGCGATAATAAACCATTGAGTGCTTGAGGTGCATCTCATCCACTGTTCACAAAACCTAATGTCTGACTATTGCTGTTACTGATCTTTTGGTGACAATGGTTTGTTTAGTTCAGGTTGCCTTTTGTTGTTTAGTCCCGTGATGTAGTCATTTACCGCCACACTTAGAATATAACTTAGGCAGTTTGTGGTTGTGGAGACTCTGCTAAGATCAAGGATTCCCTAGGTTTGAGGGCTCTATTGCTAGAGCTGTATAGGCAGGAGTTGTAAAATAACTGAAAAGACTGAAAACTGTCTTCATCTGAATTTGTCATTTATCTGCTTATAGAGCATCGTCAGAGGCTGTCTTACATATGGGTGGATTTTGGTTTTGGGATGAAAAGAATGGGCATTGGAAGATGGGAATAGGACAGGTCAGACCTTTGGCTTTCTGTTGTAAATCCATTTGCCTCTATAGTGAATGGCATTCCAGCAAACGGTGTTCTTGGCCTGCTGTACTTCTGCAGCTGGAGTGGCTGAGAGTATTTTTGGCTCACTGAATCTTTTGAGAAATATTTCTTAATTTAGTTTATGTGGAAGGCAAATCTGTAAATCACATCTAAACCAAATGGGCCAGTTTCAGATGCTGTCTAGACAAAGCTACAGATTTTATGATAAATGTTTGCCATTAAAAGTGTTAGAAAGCTGTTAAAAGCACACTTCCTTATGTCACAAATAAGTAAAATGAATTCAGAGGGTTTTTTACCAAATATACTCTAGAATGTGTA